AGCTTCTTGTTACTACTAGTAAGGCACTTGTTACTAGAAGCGATGCACTTGTTCCTAGTAGCTTCTTGTTTCTATATAACGAAGATAAGGAAGAAAGGATCAGAACGGTCTAATATGGCTAGGCTAGGAACCAAATCATCAGCGTGAGCTATCCTGCGTCCATACTAGTAGCTACTTACGCAACTAGCTACCTCTAGCTACTTCCCACCTCACCTCTACTAGCGGCCTAACCCCTAAAAAGAAGGTCGCTTGCTAACAAGGTCCTTGCTCTTAGGTTGAAGTCCCAGCTACGAACGGAGCAAAGGGCACCGCTACTAGGGGCTCCTGGCCTCAGGTGCATCGCTCGCTACTAGGAACAAGAACGCTACTAGGGGCTCCTGGCACTGCTACTAGGAACAAGGACGCTACTAGGAACAAGTGCCACGCTAGTAGTAACAAGTGCCTTACTAGTAGGAACAAGAAGCTACTAGGAGCTCAAAGCTTCCAATGGCACCGAGGCATGACGGCGAGATGGCGGCGTTCGGCTCTTTCGCCTTACGAAGCCCTCTTGGAGCAAAAGGGCAAGTTCCAAACCTGCGAAAGAAGCGTCCGATCGCTCCTAGTCGCGATGCCCTTTGTAGCGAACATTGCTCCTAGTAGTGAGGCTAGGAGCCCCTAGTAGCTTCTTGTTACTAGTAGCGCTGCACTTGTTACTAGTAGCTTATTGTTTCTAGTTCTCTTTATGGGCAAACTCTTTAAGAACTTGAACCTCAAGAAACTGCTCTTGTGATGTCAATGTTCAGGAGCTTGCTTGTTGCAAAAGACTGCAGCGCTTTGCCTTTGGGAACTTGCGACTTCGAAGAGATCTCCTTACAGCTCAAAAACACCGACAAAAAGGGCACGGTGTCTATGAAAATCACAATCTGTCTCTTAATGGCCTCCAACCCCACTAGCAATGGCCTCCAGCCTAATCAATAGTATCCTAATAGTACAGGTTTCCATGATCAAATCTTATCGTCTGACATGTTCCAATTGACGCCTGGCCCTCGCCAACCACAACCTTGAGACAGCGCTGGTCACTGGTAAACACAAAAAGTGCGGCATGCCCTTTGTTACTAGTAGCGATGCACTTGTTACTAGTAGTAAGGCCAGGAGCCTGGTAGCTTCTTGTTACTAGTAGCGATGCACTTGTTACTAGTAGCGAAAGAGAGCAAATACGAGCCTCCGAGCCTGAATAGGAATCTGACATGGCTGCATCTGCTGCTTGCATCCTTTGATTTCCACCTGGCATCGCGTTACCCCTGGCAGTCAAAAGACTGCGTTTTTTTCTCTTCGTGTGGCCTTCAAGGACTCCCAAGTCTTCAAAGAGACCTGGCGAAACAAATCGGGGTCTGGACGCTACGAACGGGGCTCCTGGCCTTACTAGGAGATCGGACGCTATTAGATTGGAGGCCACTGCTGTTAGGTTGGAGGCCGTTGCTATTAGGTTTAAGGGTTTTGGACCACATCTGCCCATATGCGTTCAATGTCAAATGGAATCGTGGTACCAATAGCATGGCAATGGCACCGGTCGGCGGTTCATTCTTCCCAGCGATGTGACTATTGAAAGCTGGAACCCTCTAAGGTCTACCTTGTTGATGTTTTATGCAGGATTCACTTGGGGTCTAACGTTTTCCTTCAAACTGGCTTGACCATGTTGTGATCACATACATCATAATATAACATAAAAGTATCGCAACTTGTATCGCAGTATTGCCTGCAGCACCCAAAACATCAGATCTGTTGGGAGAAATTGATGGAAACAGGATGAAACAAACAAGATTCTTATATCTTTAGTGAACATAATTTAGCGAAAAAAAACATTGCAAACACTATACATCATGGACAAGAAGTGTGTAAGCGCCGTAGCCACGTTGCCAGTTGGCCTGTTTAAGCTGCAGCAGCCGTAACCCACTGGAGTCCTGAAATTGCTTAATTTGAACAAGAAGCTACTAGGGGCTCCTGGCCTTACTACTAGGAGCAATGTTCGCTACTAGTCACAAAGGGCATTGCTACTAGGAGCAAGGACGCTATTAGATTGGAACTCACTGCTGCATCATTGCAACTGAACATGGATGCTCGACGCAAGGACATTCCACTTCCTGCACGCCAAGAGCGATCTCATCCTGCCAAAACGGCGGATGGCCAGGATGGGCGGATCTCTTTTACAAGCCGACCAAGTGAAATGCCTCCAACCTAAGAGCTTCTTGCTCCTAGTAGCGATGCCCTTTGCTCCTAGTAGCAAAAGGAACCTACTCAGCTACTCTTTTGTCCTGCCGCGTGTACTTCTGCAGAAGAACCACAATCGTTGCCAAAAAATCGTCAAAGTGCGGCACACTGCACTCCTGTGAGAAGCTTTTTACAATGAGGGTCAGTTCAAGGCTGAAACATGAGAAGGAACATGGAGAAAAAATATACATATATCTCTCTTACACACACATATACATAGATAAATGCATCACACATAATCACGTATACTATAATGGCAAATTGGGGATGAGAATGGGTGGCGATGTGGTGTCACTGTACCAGTGCTGAAGTGGTGTTGCTCCAGAATCTCAAAGGTTGCGGATGCAATCTTCTTTTGAGTTACAAATAGCGATGGCCTCCAACCTAGAAGCATCAAAATACTTTTGGACACAATGTTGCATATTGAAAATTCTTATCAAGGCCTATTACTTGCCAAATTGACTAAAACTGTGATGAGGAAGGAGGTCATCTTGAAACATCAGCTCACTCCCAAGGCATTATCCGAGTAGAGCTGTGTATCAATCTTCTGGGTGTGTCAGGTCTTGAATTGGTACTGTAACTTTATATTTTTTGGTTTCTACATGCCCACTGCAAACTGCAACAATGTCATGCCAGTTGCCGATCTCTCAAGTTGATTGCTGAGATTCCCGTCGTAAAATGCGCTGCGTGGGATGTTAGCCTCTAGACTTTCACATTAAGAGCGATGACCTCCGACCTATTAGCCATGGCCTCAACGCTAGTAGCACTTTCCAGCTCATCAGCGCCCATATTATGCGCCACAAAGTGAACATCTGGAAACCATGTCGGAATTTGTCTTCCCACGTGAGTATTGTCCTTGGGGGTTCAATGGTAATCTTGTAGAGTGGGTCATTCCGGACATGTCCCACGACAGTCCCTAAATCACAAAGGCGTCCGCACTCCTTAGGTCCCCATGGCAGTGTGGATTCCGAAATGGAGTCATCATCTGAAGTTGCCCTAAGCGTCGTTTGACATGGAAACTCATCCTATCTCATCGTCACTGTGCATAGAAAGTGCGCATGTTTGAAGAATACACCGAGTCAAAATAGAAGTGTTTCCGCTGAACAACTCTTTTGAGGGCACAACTCCCGCGGCAAATCCAAGGCAGGAACATATCCTCACACAACCAGGGGACACGTCGGACATGCAGGTCAACTTGAGGCATTCAACGTGCACCTGGCTCTCCTTCGTCGAGCGCCATCAACTTTGGATGAGGCTATCATGAAGAACTTGCACGCGACTGGTTTTGGACACGATCTAGGCTCTCAGGCCATCGCTATTAGGGACTCAAAGAAAGAACTTTGTTACGTAGCTTTTTGTTACTAGTAGTACGGCCAGGAGCCCGTAGTAGCGTCCTTGCTCCTAGTAGCTTTTTTAGTTCAACGAGTTTGGGGGCCTTGCGAATCGGATGCTGCTCACCACTGGTACGCCCTGTGAGTCTAGAAGGGTTTGAAGGGGCTGTGACAGCTTTGACGGTTGGCTTATGGGTCCCGTGATGTGCCAAACCTCTCAGATCCATTGCTGTACCCGTTCTGTTTGGAGTTGACATGTGCAGCTAGGGCTGAGGAAGAAATGGCAACGATGCATAGAAGGCCAAAACCACAGAACCTGTTCGTGTTCCTAACATCTTTTCAATGCGTAGTGTCTGACCGATTCTCCTTTCACACCTCGCATGGCGTTTCCAAGAAGCCCCAATCAGCAAAGCTGACGCAAGTGTGCTCATCATGTGTGCTTTATCTTTTTCTCTTGCATTCTTCGGCTAGGCACTCTTGCGGAAGCTAGCTGTTAGGCAGCTGCGCGTGCTTTGGGCGCACCTGAGGTTTGACTTGAGTGCTTAAGTCAAAAGCTGAGTTGCCCCAGCTTGACTCTTAGAAGTCGGCAAGAGAGTTGCTAATCTCAGAAGTTGGAGATGAACCCAGAATGAACAGACTCTAGCTGGCTAGACTCATTGGCCATGCCAGGGAATGAATGCATCACCAGGCTTAGGCGAAGAAGAAACTATAGGTAGCCAAATAGCACCTTCACCCCAAATCCGGCAATTGATCACAATAAAATATATTCCTGGGATGACTTTGATAAACTTTGATATAATACACCAAGAACATCAAAGACACAGCGTGAGGGGTGCGACACAAATTGTTCCGAACCTATTTCGACCAAAGCTCGTCCGGCAGCTTGGTGGCGGCATGTGGTTTGCAACCGTCCCCTCTCTCTTTCTCACATGCTCAATCATGTTTGTCATTGAACACCAAGTATGCGATGGCCACCAACCTAGCGTCCCGCTCCTAGTAATGGCCTCCACCTAGTAGCTTCTAGTTTTTAGAAAGCTTCAAAGACATTACAGGTTACTAGTAGCTTTATTGTTACGACTGGCGATGGCCTCCAACCTAGTAGCGATGACTTGTTGGTTCCAGTATCTTTTTGAACACACCCTCAGGATTGCAGAAGGCTCCCGCTGTCTGGCAATGGTTTTGTGGGATTCATATGGGGTGCAAGCAGACAGGCCAGCTGCTCACGGAAGTCGGAAACTCTCAACTAAGCCAGCTGCTGCCGGAACCCACATCCCAGATCCGTGGCACATTTTGTAACGTTGAATGCTACATAACTTGCACGAGTCTTGCACAAAGTTGCTACATAAACTGCGTGTACCAAGTGCTGTTTGGTTCGGCTCTCTCCTGCCTCGTGGCTTCCTGCGAAACCCCACTGTGACAGCGTCACCTCGGATCTGATGAAAACCACACTGTTCCTCCGGGGGTTCATTTGTTCCTAGTAGCGAACATGGCTCCGTTCGTAAACGGCCAGGAGCTCCATTTGTAGCCTTTTGTTCCTAATGTTCGGGCCCTGTTCTTGCATAGGCCTGATCAATTCCTCGCCCAAAAACAGGCCGTGCCCCAAGTGGTTCTTTCTGATCCCGTTCGAGTTCGGGTTCGAGTTCGATGCGCGAGATTGGGTGGATCGAGCGAGAGCGGGGTGGACCGGTTCCAGTTCGAGTTCGAGTTCGAATCGGCGACTATAAGGGGCCCACAACAACAGCAATGGGAACCAACAGCAGCGACAACAACCACAACAGCAATCGCCACGAAGAAGAAGAACAGGAACCAACCAAGCTAGCAACAAAGCAATCCCTGTTGAAAGTATCCACGCTGCGCAATCTCATCTTTGCAGCCAACACTTGTTTTATTGGGATCTGGTGTGCTGCTGGGGGGGGGGGCCCCCCCCCCCCCCCCCCCCCCGCCACGAATTCTGCACTTCATTTCCAAAACCCGCGCCTGCCACGAAATCAACATTTTAGTGTGAACTCCCTGCGGCAAAAAACCTGCTAACCAACCAACAGCCACCTGCCAGCGGCGCCAGCAGCAACCAACCAACTGACCACAACGTAGCATCCCTTTTGCCTTTTGTGGGCCATCCGAGGGTAAAATTTAGAATCGGAAGAAGCCATTGCAACGTAGTATTAGTTCGAGTTCGAATTCGAATCGACGACAGCAATTTTGGAGTTCAACTCCTGCTATTCGTCCACCGGGTTGACTTCTAACTGTTCCAGTTCAAGTTCGAGTTCGAGCGGAGCACACTATGCCCAAAAAGAACCGCGCGCAGCTGCGCGCAGCTGTTTCAAGATTTTCTTCCGCCGCTTCTTCTCCTTTTGCAAATTCCCGCTAGTCGGTCCGAAAGTGCGCACGGCACCACAATGAGTGGGCAATCGAGGAAAGTTCCCACTCGGGAGAGGCATGGCCCCACAGTCCTCCGAAGATCTGGAGAGACATAGGAACAAGGACGCTACTAGGGGAACATGAAGCTACTAGGGGCTCCTGGCCTTACTACTACGAACAAGAACGCTACTAGGGGCTCCTGGCCATACTAGTAGGAACAAGGACGCTACTAGGGGAACATGAAGCTACTAGGGGCTCCTGGCCTTACTACTAGGAACAAGAACGCTACTAGGGGCTCCTGGCCTTACTACTTGGAACAACGACGCTACTAGGGGCTCCTTTGGAGATTTCCTGTCCTGTTGCTTGAATCTTCGCACCTGCCTGTTTAGCATTGTAACTGTGCCAATGCACTATCTATCACCTTCCACCACCTCCTCAGCCCTGCCATATTCATCATGTTCATATGTCAGTGCAGTGCAACGACGCCAGTTTGCGCACAGTTACAAGAGCATGTAGGGATCCTCAGTGGCTGTCTCGGAAACCTCCGGCAGTTCGAGCGGATGGAGTTGCCCTGGCTGACACGGCTTCTCTTGAAGTGACCGTGGCTTTGGGTCCTGGCGCGATGGCACTGGCACCATCCGGCACCAGCGTCGCTCACAGATTGCGCGGTCGCATCTAACCAGTTAGGCACCGGATATTACATGGTTTCTGGGAGTGAGGCCATCGCGTTTAAATTGGCGGCCATTGCTACTGGGAACAAGAGGACGGAACAAAGGGAATCGCTACTAGGAGCAAGGACGCTACTAGGGGGCGCTCCTGGCCTGACTACTCGGAACAAGAAGCTAGTAGGTTAGTTAGTTAGTTGTTTCTTTAAGAAAAACATCCCTTCCACGGACTGAGCCCACTGTGTCCTTAGACTCTGTCCGCAGCTTTGGCGGCAGCGGTTTCTCTGGTGGAGGTGGCCGTGGCCTTGGATGGTCCTGGCGGCTGCGCTTCGGAGAATTTTCATGGCGCTTCACACATGACGAACGGAGTCCCAAAGAAACAGGTGATCCACCCTTTTTAGCTTTAGCAACAGGCTCGCACCGTCTGCAGCAAAGGAGAACATAGGCCACGGGCACGCAAATGACACAAGACACAAGCTAGCCAAAAAGAACGCGCATCATGTTCCTGCGGTGCATGACCATACATCTTGATCGCCCCGCCCTCCTACCACTCCCGACGCTACCGACCTACCCGAAGTGCAAAGTCTGAAGCATAGTTTTTAAACTGTAGTTCACTGCACTTTCTGACACGTGCATAGTTTTTGTTTGACCTACCAGCCGGACTTATCAACAAGTCAAGGAAGACCCGCGTGTAGCATGGAAACAGACACGTCCTCATTGCCAACACATTTTGGGTAACTCAACCGAGCGGAGGCAAAGCACAGCAAGGCAAGCGCAAGCTAGTGGAATCACATGTGTTTTTGTTTTCTTCCTTGCTGTTTCGTCCATACGGCTGTGAAGTGTCAAAAAAGAAGTTATTCCAAAGCGGCAGGAAGGGTACCGTGCTGAAGGTCTATGTCTTCATGCGTTCTCCTGTCACGGTAGCCCTCTCATTGCGCCGATTTCGTTTTCACTGGCTGAAGAAATCAATGCCAACCATTTTTTTCATTTCATTTCGCGACCGTTTGTAGGCAGAAGCCTATGGCGTTAAGCCATCCGTAGACAAAAGCTGAATTCAGCTGTAGACGCCCGTCACGTCAACGTGCCAAGTACACGGAGCGACAAACTCTGTACAGCTAGGGGCACCCCATCACGCCACACCTTCGGCAGCGGAGGTAAATGCCCAGATTGCATCGGATCCACGGCAGTGCTAGGACCCATGTAAGCCGGCCTCTCAGGAATGGCATCCTGTAGCTCACGAAGTCGGTGCACGTGTACCGCAAGATCGTGAGCTTGTAGGAGATTCGGCCCATCATCCCAGCCACTGATCACGTGGCGCCACCACTCCAAGTCTTCCCCTTGTAGGTCAGCATGCATGCACCAAATGAAGAAAGCTCCCAGCCATTCTGCAATGGGAAAGTCATCCCAAAAATGCTGCATGTCCTCTAGGGTCAGACGCTCAGAGCACTGGCTAGCAAAAGTCCGAAAAAGGGCTGCCTTACTGTCATCATCAACAGCGAAGGAAACTCCCCTCGAAAGCAGATCACGTCGTAGCTGCATGAACTCTTGCTCAGCATAATCAAGGTCATTTTCATCTGCGCCCAGAACATGTGGTCCAACAAGCGCGATGGCATCTTTTCTCGTGGCCCCAGGGAGAGCCACAAAGTTGTCCGCAGGCAAGTCATCTCGCTCAGCTTCAAAACGAGCAAACATGCGAACCCATGCACCGCACCTATTTGGACGGCCCTGCCTTGAAACATAGCGCAAATGTAGTTGGAGCCTGTTGACCGTCCAATAATGGCATACGCATACAGGGCATGTCGCCCCGTGAATGCGTCCGTGTTCAGGATTGCGCCAAGCATGCTTCTGGATGCGATGCATCCTGAGAGCCCTGCTATTCCCGAAAAAAGCACCACATTCACATCGAAACTGGGCCTGATGGAGAAGGTCCAACAAAGTGTCTTCCTCTCCTCCTCGAACCAAAGCACGACCACACATGCGAGGCAAAAGTACGACATGTTTCATGCCGGCCTGTTTCACCATTCGCTTCCACCCAGGCCGTCCCTGCGCCCAGTGGAGTTGAAGCTCCTCAAAGGTAGTGCCCCATGTGCTCAAATCCATCGCGGAGGCGAGCCACTGAAGATCTTCAGCAAGGCCTGCATGCCATCCATCCGTTAGCTCCGTGGCCTCCTCCTGAAGCTCCTGCAGCACAAACTGCGGCCCATGTCGTGTCAGCCGGGCCGCAAGAAGGAGACGATGCTGCGCCAGCCGAACTCTCACCGGCACACAGCCAGCCTTGACCAAGATCTCCACATCAGACATGACTTTGTTCCCCTCCACCTTATTTCGCCGAAGAGTTCGGCGCAACATATTCCCTTGACATACTTGGAGTCGTCGCATGTCTTGGGCACGTAGGAGAGGCCATGAGCCACATCCATAGTAAAGCTTGGTGAAGACCAGGGCTTCAAGGAGAAACAAACGTGTCGCTTCCTTCAAAGCAGAATTGGTAAAGAGCTGCCTCGACATAGATCGAAAAGCCATCCATGCCTGTCCAATCCTCCGGTGAATTTCCTGGCCAAGGAGACCTCCCGCTGACAAAGTAGTGCCCAAATGCTTATACTGAGCACCAAGCATCAAAGCACGCTGACCAGGGCCCAAGCAAAAGGATTCGAGTTCCAACCGAGGTTGCAAACGAAGCTGCTCTCGCATTTGCTTGGCTCCCATTCCGGCTGGCGTCAGCAGAGCTTCACTCTTTCCCTTGGACATGTTGAGAGTCATCCCTCTCTGAGCGAAGGCGAACTCCACCTCAAGAAAGATGCCCCCCACCTCTCTCAACAACTCATCATTGGTAGAAGCTAGAACCGGCACCGCTAGGTCATCGGCCCAGACAATCTGCGCCCCTCTTGTAGCGCATTGCTGCCTCATCTGCTGCTGCTGCACCCTCGCACTAATGGTCTTCTCCAAGTCAGCCACTACAGGACACATGAGGCAATGAAACAGGGCATCCGCCAAAGGGCTACCCGGCCTCGTACCTCTAGTAGTTCGGACCGCCTCACCATTCAAAGTTGCCCATGTGCGACTGTGCAATTCTCGAAGAAGGTTTGTCAGCATGCAATCAGGAAGAAGGCCCGGCGCCTTCACAAGCTTTTCCACTATGTCAGGAACAAAGCCTTCTCGGAGCAAAGCTTCCTCAAGTATGCATCTGTCCTTGTCATCTCCAAGTTTCGAGCCCAAGACAATCTCCCTCACAACCGAGTGAAAGGCAGCCCGCAAATCAACAAAGATGACCGCAGCAGGAACTCCTCGATGATACGCTCGCCTCATGAATGTCTGAACATACAAGCTGCCAAATGCACACTCTTGGTGAGCGAAGCCACCCAGCTGTCCGGGAGGTCGATCAATGTCAGCCCATGCCATGACCTGAGGTCGAAGGAGTGCATGTACACGTCGGACAAAAACTCCGAGAAGCATAATGCCCCGATACTGCTCAGCTGACACAGGCATGGGGACCTTTGGCAGCATGTGTAGAACTCCTCCTTTCCATTGTACGGGTTCCTGTGCCGTCAAGAGCATTTTCAAGACCAGATCAAAGACCCATGGTGCAAGTGAATGAGCCCCAGCATGAATCCATTCAGAAGGAAGACCGTCCGGCCCAGGTGCTTTTCCAGGCCTGGTACATCGTAGTGAATTTTCCACCTGCACCAGACTAGGGATCTCCCCCAACTTGCACATCATGCGATTGGAAGCAACTTGAGTGTCCTCTGTGAGCAACTCCTGGTAGAGGTTCTCCAGGCGTTCATGTGCTCCTGCCTCCAACTTTTCCAGATGAGGGCGCCACAGGTCTCGTAGAGATTCCTGCTGAACTGCAGGTCGAGCCTGCTGGCGCGCCCGGTTCTTCGGCAAATGTCTCTTCACCAAAGTCCAAAGCTCCTTGACCTTAGCAGGTTGATCACAGGTTTTCCATTCCTCCTTCAGCGTGTCAAAGAACGCCCGGGTGTCTTGCCGCTGGAGAGCAGTAGCACGATTACGAACCTGCCTGAATGTCAAGGACAAAGAGACCCACATCCGAGCCAAGTGCCAATCAATGCATTGGTAGGGCTGCAGGTTCAGACTTCCCCCTCGACAGTGAGCCTGCCAAGCAAGGAAAAAGGCCTCCAACCCCAGGAGCCGTCGCCCATGCTGTAAGTGCAAGAGTTGCCCCCGTAGTTCAGCCTTGTGTCGAATAACGGCCCGTGTCTCCTCCCAGAAATGCGGCTTCCGATGGAAGGGTTGCCTCCTAGGGATAACTTGGTGGACCCCTTCGGAGAACCTGCTCGCTAGTTCTTGAGCATGTTGGTGCACATCCAGTTTCCAGTCAATGGGTAGCATATACCCCGTAGCCCATGCCATTTGCATCCTTGCTTCCGCATTGGTACCAACAGGCTGCAAAGGCATAGGTCGCTTCACCTGCACACAGGCCCCACTACCAGGCAGATGGCATTCAAACTCCACACAGACAGCATGATGATCATGTAGGTGCCCATGTGCTTGAAGCTGAAAATCCGTCCATGAAACCATGGAAGCGAAGTGCCAGCAAGCAGGGACTGCAATGAAGTCAATCCGGCTCTGCTTGCCAGCCGGGTGCGTCCAAGTGTGTCCTGGCCCAACACGAAACTCCGGGAATGTCGAAGGCACCCAAAGATGCTGAGCCAGCAAAAATTCATGAAAGCACGCACCATTATCATTCTCCTCCTCAGCATAATGCCCATGTACTGCCGATGAGACACGAGTTCCCAAACTAGCATTGGCATCTGTCAGCACAATCATGTCAGTGTCCTGCAAATATGGCGGCAAAGCGGACCTGATAGAACTCCAAAAAGCATCGACCTCCTTGGGCGAGTGCCCTGTATGTGGTGCATGGGCCACAATCACCAAGAGATCCAAAGAGCCATACCACACCCGTGCTATAAGTAGCTCATGGGTACTAGCCACCACTGAGATGTGCTTCTCCGCCAAAGCTTCTTTGGCTTCACCTTCTCCATGTACCCGAAAAAGCTTTCGGTGCAGAGCAAGGAGAACTCCTCCCTGACCCTTATGACAAGGATGTGCAACCGTGACATACTCCGGGTGCCCGAAACGAAGACGCTTAAGGCGTGTTTCTTGCAAAGCCACTATTGCATAACTCTTGTCGTGACACTGATCCAAAAAGCTGGCCGTGGCAGCATGTACGGACACATATCGTTGGGACAAGGTCAAGACATTGCATGAAACAGCTCTCAACTGAAGCTGGAGAGGCTCTGCAGATCGTATGTTCGTCTGCCAGGACTTGAGCTTTTGTACAACCTCGGCATCTTCCT